GGAATCGGGGTTTGGGCCAAACTCCAATTTAAACTCCATATGTGCGATGCGGGCCTTTGCCTTTGGAACAACGAAAGGCATTTAAAAGCGAAAAGCGAAAGTGTTTGCCATATCCATTGCATTCGTTCTACTGCGATCAGGGAAATGCGGAGTATTGGGGGGACGTCTAACGGTTTCCCAGGGCGCCAGTGGAAATGGAGATTGATTAAAAGATTTACCTCGGCCGACGATGATGCATTTCCCTTGATAATTTTCCCGATGCAGCGATTTGCAGCTGGCCCTGGCCCCTGAGGCTGCCACTAATGCCTTAATAATATGATAAACTGGCCCAGCCAAAAAAGAGATTAATTTCCAAGACATTTCCCAGCAGCAGCAGCAACGGCAGCAGCAGAAACAGCAGCGGGAAAGCCGGCAAGTGAGTTGTTAGCCCAATCTAAACGTGGCATGTGGCAAGGGGAATTTTGAATGTTAAACGCTGGATGGGGCATGGCCAAGTTTCCAGAGCAGAGAGCTCGAATAGCTCACCAGTAACCGCTCACCTTTCTGACCGAAAGTCGCTTTTTGATGGCTTTCAGCTCACCGTGTGTTTGTCTTCCTCTACTGTTACCCGGTCTTTTCCTTTATTTTGTATTTTTATACCCTTGCAGAGGGTATTATAATTTTGGTCAAAAGTGTGCAACGCAGTGAAGGAGACATCTCCGACCCTATAAAGTATATATATTCTTGATCAGGATCACCTCCTGAGTTGATATAGCCATGTCCGTCTGTCCGTCTGTCCGTCTGTCCGTCTGTCCGTCTGTCCGTCTGTCCGTCTGTCCGTCTGTCCGTCTGTCTGTCCGTCTGTCTGTTTCTACGCGAACTAGTCTCTCAGTTTTAAAGATATCGAATTGAAACTTTGCACACACCCTTCTTTCCTTTGCACGCAGTATATAAGTCGGAACGGCCGGGATCGGCCGACTATATCCTATAGCTGCCATATAACTGATTGATCGGAAATGCCATAACTCTGCTGTTTGTTAAGTTAGGAAGTTGGGATTTTCTATGGGTTATATATTTGACCAATTAATCCGACCTACCAAATTTCATAAGGATCGGACGACTATATCCTATAGCTGCCATATAACTGATTGATCGGAAATGCCATAACTTTGGTGTTTGTAGAGTTAGGAAGCTGGGATTTTCTATGGGTTTTATATTTGGCCAATCAATCCGACCTACCAAATGTCATAAGGATCGGCCGACTATATCCTATAGCCGCCATATAACTGATGAATCGAAAATGCCATAACTTTGGTGTTTGTAAAGTTAGGAAGTTGGGATTTTTTATGAGTATTAAGAATGCATCATATGAATAATTTTGGAGAATATAATGTACATAATATTCTGCAAGGGTATATCAACTTCGGCTCCGCCCGAAGTTAGCTTTCCTTTCTTGTTTTTAGTTTCGGTTGTTTGCAGTGCACGTTTTCCTAATTGCTCCACTTAATCTCCGCTTTTAAGTATTTTTGGTGGTCAGTCAATGGCCCGCAGAGAAAACTAAATACTATTCATATGTGAAACGGTACACAGAGGCAGTGCTCCTTTGTTTCTATCCGCAATTTGGCTGGAGATAAGTGTAAGTGAAAGATGAAAGAAATCAATATGCATTTAATGATTTCAAAGGTTTGTTGATCATGCCTTTATAAAAGTATACCAACTTAACAACCTTTTGTGCAAACTGGGGGGTATTAAATGGCACAAAACTGATGCTGTTTAATAAAAGAATTATAAAAAAAAATATATAACAGGTTTATATTTGATGCTGTTCAATTAAAATAATTTATTAAAAATTCACGCAAGTTGGAATAAACCTATGAGATTGCATACCTAAGTTGTAAATCATAAAAATGAATAACATACATTTTTTCCAAATGAGGAAATAGTTTAAAACTATTACTGTAACCATATAAAGCTCACCTCGGGATGCTCCTTACTTCTCACAATCGTTAACAGCTCAGCTCTCAATTACTTCACCTGTAACTTGGTAGCTTCAACAAAAAGAGCATGAGCAATAAAAGTGAGTGTAAAGTTTTTAATTAACGAAAGTTGGCCATAAATATGGCTTGGAAAATGCATTTCCGAATGTCACAAATACAGCAGCTATCTATATACTCGCGCATACTGTAGGCAACATTTCCATATGTTGGACACGTATCCATCATGGTAATTATGCAGGGCTTCGGCAGCCGGAAATTTCACTTTGTGCAGTGAAATTATTTATTGGCTTAAATATTCGCAGTATGTGCCGAAGAAATGTCTGGTTGGAGAAGGCGAAGTGTCGATGCCTGGTTTATAATCATTAGGGTTTGCCGCCGCGTCACTTCAATTGTCAGTTACCGCTGCCGCTGCCCACGTTCAGATACTCGTACTTGTACTTGCAACCTATCCCGACTCATATGCCTTATGATGTTTTAACTACTCCAAGTCCACATGACAGGGCACCACGTATACACAAAAGAAAGGGGGCGTGGGTGGAGGTTGAAGAAAGAGAAGCGGAGCAGACGGCTTCGATGAGATTGGACACACACACGCAATCACAGTGGTCGCCCATAAAGTGAATTTTGCAAAAGCCGTCTATCGATATAGAATAATGGTAACATACCTTTTGAACATAAACTCCTTCTGCAAAAGTAATGGTCGAATCGGTCTACTAAAAATCAAGAAAGGCATTAAGTATTTTACAAAACTATGTTAAAACTCCATTTATTTTAATGTGCAACAGAGAAAGCGCATTTAAAAGTGATTTAATGTATTTAGTTTCTAAAAGTGCCAGAAAGTTAAGAGCCGAATTTCTGAAAATCGAAAATTTATTACCATAAAATTACCCGGCGGCTCACATTTTGCCAGCAACCACTGTACTCAAAATAATGTGAGTGTCGAGTGTGTATCTGTGTGCTCGAGTGAGTTCCATTGCACTTCTCCTGGGGAAATATCAGGCGACACTTAACTATTAAGCAAGAGCTGGGCGAAGTGGCAGGAGATGGTGGTGAAGGAGACGGAGCACTCCTATTTTTAACCGCATGGAGTGGGTTTGTGCCCCACAGTCCCCATTCCATGCATCCCCCTGCCCGTCTTTATTCCATCAGTGTTGCCAATTTTAAAACGAAATATGACGGCGTTGAACAGGAAGAGAACTTAAAAATATATTCGGGAAACATCTTCAAAAAAATTTTTTCATTTTGGATGTTAGCAGTACATTATGTATAATATTGAACGGTAACAATAATAAAGTTTAATATACCTTTTGACCTAAAGTTGGTAATAATTTTTCATTAAATTGTTATCTTAATGTAAAAAAAGTAATATTTCTAGTTATAGTAGCACAGATTGCCCCTTAGCTATTTGTTTTGTTAATTAAAATGATTCAAAACAATTCGCGTAATTGAAATTGATCAAAAAATGTTAATTCAAGTAAAAATAGCTGAACTGTCAACTCTTGTGCAAGTGCATTACGCCTAGGCTTTTACTTACACACACCGACAGCAGGGAAAAAGGGGCAAGTGGCATGGTGGTGTCAGGTTGCCGCATGCACCACTCTGCAACAGCCCGCGCCACACATCCCGTGCACCGCTCAGTGGGTCGCAAGTCCCACGACCCACCAATAGTAAAATAGCAAAACGGCAAAGAAGCAAAAGCGGCTGCAGCGACGACGACGGCCAGTCAACTTTTGGCTCGGCTAAACAAAAGTGTCTTCGCAGAGCTAAAAATAACCAATGTTTTGACCCAACTTCCCCTTCGACTCTGCGGCTCCATGGCCCGATCCTCTTAGTCGCTGGCTTGCGCTTCCTGTTCTGGGTGCAAATCTGTGCCAAATGTTTTCCAAGAAAACCAAGTATGCAAATACATTTTGCATTTAAATTTTTTGCAGCAGCAGTAGCAGCAGCACAGCAACAAATGCAGCAAAAGGGGCGGCCTCATTAGTGGCAAGACACTTGAAATTAGAGTTTGGTGCTGGCCTGAACGTTCGGTGATGATGAAAGTGATTTATGTCCGGCAAAGGCAATGTTCCACAGCTCCTCGGAGACCCGAGACCCGATGTCTGGGTTGGCAGTAGCTTCGTCTTGGTTGGGAAACATGTTCGTGGGCTGCTACTGCTGATGCCAATTGGCAAGGTCTACTCTGCTTTTCTACCTTTGATTTCCATACCCTGTAATATAATATGGTATCAGCTAATAATTCTTCACTTTAGAACTTGCTCTGAAATAAATGAGACGAATAATTATAGTTTGATCCTTTAAAGAATAGTTATTAGTAGATTCATAAAAAAAGTTTAGAAATTTTGTATAAATAAATCAATTCTTGTGTACCCAAAATCAGGTGTAATATAGGGTACGTTTCGGTCGAAAAATGCGAATGCACTTGATTTTTTATTTTGTATTTACTTTTTTTTTTTTTGAGAAAACAGATGCATAAACTTAAAAAAGAAGCAGTAGAAGCATCTGAAGAAGCTTAAGAAAGAAACAATTGCATAGGAACCCTGAAGTGCACTAGACCTGAACTATTTTTTCGCTTTTTTTTTGTTTTTTGCACTTTTTGCAATGGCGCGGCATAACTGAAGCATATCTGCGCGCACTTCTCGCTGGCGCACATAAAATAAATGCAAAATGTTAATCCCGCAAGTGTTTAAGAGCGGCTTAAGTACATGTTTTATTTTCGCTTGAGTTCTTTGCGTATTTTAAACTTTTTGTGACCTACAATCAGAGTGTACAACTCACCACGAGTTGGGTTCTGCCGCAGAGAGAGAGAGAGTGGGGTCCGAAAAGAAAGAGAGAGACGGAGAGAGCTCCAACTCCAGTCAGCATCAGCTGTAGTTTGTTTTTGTTATGATGCGCCACATGGCTTGGAGCTCGCTCTCCGCGCTCTCTTTTTGTCAGCTCTTGCGCTCTGTGTGAGTTGGGTTTCGGTCGTTGTTTTTGGATCGATGAAACTTCTCGCGCTGCCGTGGTATATAATGCTTTTCACTTTTCCCACTGCACTTTAGTCGGCAGACTTTTATCGAAACGTGCACATCACCAGCGGGCGCACACACAAAGAAAATATACACACACATATATTGTTATAGCCAATATATCCTTCGAACCGAAAAATACTCGCGAGTGTAAATCAAAGTTTTCCAGCTTTCTTTGTGAGTGAAGTGTTTGGGAATTTGGGGAATTGGTCGGGGAAAATGTTGCAAGATAGGGATTAAGATGAAATCCTGACTAACTCAACCATAGGAATTTTCTCCGTTTTCCGTCTGCTCTTCCTGTGCATCTCTCTCCTTTACTTTTACTCTCTCTCCCGGGATGCTCCTTGCATTCTCTGAAAGTAGAGGGTTTATTGATTTTACGCACATGCAGCATCCCCATCTATGAGTCATCATCCATCCTGCAACATTTTCCCCCACGTGCCTAACCTCCGCTTTTCGCCTTTTCCGCGTGCGCTTAGATTTTTCCAGTGCGAAAAGTAAAGCAATTGCATCCATCCAACAGAGAGATTATCCTTTCGCAAACCAAACAAAACAGAAATGGCCGCCTACGCTGCTTTTAAACACGTTGAGCTTTACAATGTTGGCAAAGCCAAAAAGAGGTAAGAAATTGGGCAAGGATAAATTTTAAATTGCAACTTTTTAGTCAATAAAGAATTAGGAGTTTTCATGCCAAAAACGAAATACAGAAATGTTCAAACTTTTTGAAATATGTGAAAGAGAGCTGTCAATAAAGGGTACACAAACAAAGGAAATGAAGTCGAAATTTTTTAAAGAAAAAAGGTTAACACTCTTTCCATAAAAGACTGTAAATAAAAGCATTTAATCACCCAAAAATTGTCTTTGTGATTATAATCCTTTGTTAAAAATTGCCCCCTCAGATTTAAAACCTTTTTTTTAACAATAACTCACATATATATTAAAATGAAGAAAATCATAGCGTTGTTTATATTTTACAAATAAATATTTTGTAAACATTTTTCCAAAATGAGTCTTCCCAATGACGAGTTCGAAAAAAAACGCTACAATCTTCGTTTGATAATGACGAGCTACTCTAAGTGGCTGGTCATAAAAAAAAATTAAATTTTTTTTACTTTATCTATTTAAGAATTTGAATACGCATACTCAGACTTTTTGTATTATCTAAAGAAATTTGTGTTTTTCCTTTTCAACTGTTGTTTAGTTAAATATTTCTTCAGATCATAAAAATATTCTGTGTCATTTCTAAATTCCATAAGAGGCAAATGTACTCGAGTAAAATATTACTCAACTTCAATAAATCGTATCGAGGTTATCCGTCGACCGACTCATTTTCCCTGAAGTTTATCAACTGTTACGTGGCTATTGCATATTTTGTTATTGTTTGCCACCGCTCGAGTGAACTTTGATTGGCAAACATTTCGGAAGGCAGCCTCATCGTGATCTGCATCAACATCTTCATCTTTATCCCATTGTCTGAGCTGTCGGGCCGCACAAACACACACTGCATATTCATTTGGTTATGTGTGTAGATTAATTTAGCGTTCATTCACCTCGCCGCCTGACTGACTGACTAACTAATACTTACTACCCATACAGTCGCGTGTGCACGGGGCGTATGTGTAATCTGGGGAGCATTACTTTTGCAAGCGCCTACTTCCCACAAAACCAAAACCATCGAAGCACCCAACCACCCAGTCACCTTACCACCTAGCAAGTGAACCACCCAAACCCGCGGTGGCATGTCTTTGGATGTCTCATTGATTTTCCTTTGCCAACGGGCAACTGCCCCACGACAAACTACCGCACAAAGCACCACCCCCGACACCACCATCACAGACCACTCGATGCCACCACACAAAAGTCAAAGGGACCGGCGTTCTTTGGGAATATACCCTTTCTAATTCCGAGGGTATAGCAATCTCAGTTATAGCCATCAAAACAATAGCCAATTTGCATTTTTTAGGAGGTGTTTACGAAATATTCATTTTAACGTGACATAAAAGGTGGGACAAATCAAATTCATTGCAATTTCAAACCATGGCAATGTTGGTACGTCTTAAAGTAAGCAAGCAAAGATTTTTATTATTTTATTATTGTTCTTTCGATAAATTGCAAGGCGTTTTGATAGCTATATCTTGTAAATGACAAAGCCTGCATCTTATGTAAATGTTATTAAGTTAAAGAGGCTGATGTGATTAGTAAACTAGATATGAAATAAAAAGTGTAATGCATTGTTATCGTTAATTAATATTATTAAGATTTATGGGGGATTAATGGCATACTAAACTTGATAATAGCCCACAGAAGACCAATGCTTAAGGCTTTGCTTTGAAATTCGTGTCTACTCTAATGATGCAATGTGGTTAAACATTAAGACTGATTAGTTACACCGTTTATCCAAATGATATGAAATATAATAAAATGATTATTATTGAGCAATCACGACCTATTACCACTAAAAAAAAATATTATCTTGTTACCGTTTATAGCCACCTGTCCAAGGGTATTTCCTCCATCGACTTCTCTTAACATTTGCTTGCCTTTCTTTTTCAGTAAGTTTCGGCTTTTGTTTTTGCATGCAATTCTTTGACCAAGCCCCAGCCCAGCACCACCCATTTTTCGCCTTTCGAGTGGGGAAACAAAAATCGTTACCGAAATGCTTTTTGCTTATGTCTGTTCCGTTTACCACGCTTACGCTCATACCTGTCCCGTGTTTTAGTACCAGTCCGCTTCCCTGTCCGCTCGACTGTCCGTTGTCCGTCGTCCGCCGTCCGCTGGTCCGTGGCGGACATTGAACCCCTGCTTCTCTCCGCGGGCTGTTGGGATCGGAGATTAGTTTTGGCCGCAACAGAAACCAAACAGAAACAATTTTCCTTATGTGTGCCATGTGCATTATAAACAATTTGCTGGATTTTATGGTCCATCGATGGGTGGCTGCTGCTGGGGCCAAGTGTGGAAAATGTGTTAATCATTGTCTTTGATTGCGATTGTGTAACATGCCGCCTTGGACTTTCCCGCCGGAGGCCAGAGGAAAATGATTAATATACTTTTTCTCTGCATTTCGATGCAACGTTTTGTTTGCTGTGTGTGTGTCCCCTTTCTTCTGCAAAGCCGTGACTTATTATTGTAAACAATCAAATTAAATCTCAAAGGTGCGACGCGCCAAGATATCGGATTGAATTGTCGCTCTTTGTTGCGTTGTATAAGCGGCGGAAATCATGACAATTCATTTTGTTTATGGCATTGTCTATCCATCTGACGATCATTATACGCTTGAATTCCTTTGCACAATGCCCGCATATCTACTGTTTACAACCTGAAGTTAACCTCATTCTGCAAGGAAAGTCGGCGAACAAATCAAGAATTTCCATATATTTATAACCATATATAATATACCTCTGATGGGAATGTTTTTTTTGGCGTTGCCAAGTCAACATTTATGTAAATGATTGCAGAACATGCGGAAAACGAGCCAAAGTCGTTATGAGGAATAATCAACAGAAATCTGCACCACCTCCCCACTATCATGACCTATTGACAGAACCGAAAAGGAAATCAAACACATTTCTGTAATGCCTGCGTCAATGTAATTCCTGTTGACACGGAAATCGGGCAGGAAAAGTGGGGAAAAACTTTTCGGCCCTCAGCAGAAGTTCCCCTGGCAACCTAACCAATATATAATATGCATGGGTTTTTGATAAATACTGTACCTCAGAGTGCCTGACACGATGAATGAGGCTGTTCAGTATTCAATTCCCATCGATCGGGGAGCAGTTGGAGGTGGAGTGTGTCCTCTCGTCGGGAGGAGCTCTGTCTGAATATATTAGAAAGTCCTTTCGCTTTTCACAAAGCCGCAAATTAATCAATACAAATTTATTAATTACATATTTAAAAGCGGCAGAGTTGCAACTTTCGCTGCGATGAGTGTGTCAGCAATTCTGGTATGGTTTGACTTTGGCTTTAGTTGCTCTCTGGCTCTGAAATGCACAATTTACGAAGCCAATCCCAGCTTACGTACGCATATACATAATAATAAAAATGCCAGCATCACTATCGGCATCTACATGCGGCTTTTCCAAGCCAACTTTTCCTCTCGAGCACAGCACTTTCCTTTGAAACTCGGCGGAACACTGCAACTGCAACCGCACACGGCTAATCGATAATTATTCATCGGGCGCAGGCCAACACTATCGATAATTGACAATCTATGGTTTTGCAGCCACGACGACTCGACTCCTTCGCCCCGGCATTGTCCAATTATGAATTTTCATCAAGTCCCGCTCCGTCCATTAATCACACCTCCCAAACACCACCCGCTGCGGTTTGATTTGGTGCCCTCTTGCGTCTTCCTGCTGATCATCTTCGGGGCAAAGAGCTCCTCCTCTCCCGCTGACATCCGACACTTTTCACGAGCGTGACTGACCAGGAAAACATATCAATTTAAATGCTATTGCTTTGATTGAGAGAGGGAAATGGGAAAAAGTGCGTGGACCTGGCACTCAAATTGTAGTTGAATTATGAGCGGAGGAAGTCGTGTTTAATTGGGAGTCACAGCAGGAGATTCCCTTGGTGTATCTGCTGATGGAAACTAAAATGGAGTTTATTATTCAATTCGCTTAAAAGCTAAGCAATTCGATATTTTAAGGGTTATTATTACAGATTAAGCTGAACTATTTCTACAATATTGAAGGACTTCCTTCCAAAGATCAACGGAAATTGTTTATTTTCACGGATTATCATTCTTGCAATGACTACCGTGGAATGTCTGACGACTCCGATTCGATCGATAGAGATATATTCGCCGGCCACAGCTGATTGGATTCGAAAAGCTTTTGAATGGAAAGCAACGGTAAACATACAGCGCTTGAGTGATCGCCACCGCCACGCCTCCCTCCCCCTGAAAAGTGCAGCTCCTCCCCTTCCTTTTAGTTGGCGGGGAAAGTAGATTCTTCGGCATAGGTATTTCTCCTCCGTTTCTGTTTCATTGTGTTTGGTTTGATTTGGCTTTGTCTGAAGCGGCAATTATAATGGATTCGACTAATCAACGTTTTTAGGTAAATCAAAACTGGGAGGGAGAGACAATCATAACAAAAGTGGCAGCAACAATAGAAGAAAACCGCACACAATTTTCGTGCTTCAGTTGGATTTTCATTAGGTTTTTTTTTCTGTCATTTTTCTTTTTTTTTTTCATTTTGCGGTTGCACGAAGCGGACGGGACACGTTTTAAATGAAACAAAAGGAAGCAGCAACGCAGCCACTGCAATGCGATGCAGTCGAGCAGCAAGCATGCATAATGAGCCAAACAAACCCAAAAACTCGATAATAAATGGGCAGCGAAAAAAAAAAGAGTTACACATCAAGTGAAGTGAAGTGAACTCGTCCGATAAACAATTACCCGGACATTCAAATGGAGCCGAATCAACTGGAACCCACTGCAAACTTCAAACTCCAATATCCAGCTCCATCTCCATCTCTATGACCATGATGTACAGGTGCAGTGCAGCATAACGATCGGCTGGACTAACTGATGCTTTATGGACTAAACCATAAAGTTGAGGCCTCGCGACTGACTAGCAGTAAATTGTGCATTTTTATTGCATGATTGCTCTCAGCCGACAGA